TGTAGTGTATTTGACACACTCTCCTACATCCCCCAAATACAGACTATGTAGTGTATTTGACACACTCTCCTACATCTCCCCAAATGTAGACTGTGTAGTGTATTTGACACACTCTCCTACATTCCCCAAATGTAGACTTTGTAGTGTATTTGACACACTCTCCTACTTCCCCGAAATGTAGACTATATAGTATATTTGACACACTCTCCTACATCTCCCTACAAATGTAGACTATGTAGTGTATTTGACACACTCTCCTACATCCCCCAAATACAGACTATGTAGTGTATTTGACACACTCTCCTACATCTCCCCAAATGTAGACTATGTAGTGTATTTGACACACTCTCCTACATCCCCCAAATGTAGACTATGTAGTGTATTTGACACACTCTCCTACATCTCCCAAAATGTAGACTATGTAGTGTATTTGACACACTCTCCTACATCTCCCAAAATGTAGACTATGTAGTGTATTTGACACACTCTCCTACATCCCCCAAATGTAGACTATGTAATGTATTTGACACACTCTCCTACATCTCCCCAAATGTAGACAATGTAGTGTATTTGACACACTCTCCTACATCCCCCTCCCCCAAATACAGACTATGTAGTGTATTTGACACACTCTCCTACATCCCCCAAATGTAGACTGTGTAGTGTATTTGACACACTCTCCTACATCCCCAAAATGTAGACTATGTAGTGTATTTGACACTCTCCGACATCCCCCTCCCCCAAATAAAGACTCTGTAGTGTATTTGACACACTCTCCTACATCCCCCAAATGTAGACTGTGTAGTGTATTTGACACACTCTCCTACATCCCCCAAATGTAGACTATGTAGTGTATTTGACACACTCTCCTACATCCCCCAAATGTAGACTATGTAATGTATTTGACACTCTCCTACATCTCCCCAAATGTAGACAATGTAGTGTATTTGACACACTCTCCTACATCCCCCAAATGTAGACTATGTAGTGTATTTGACACTCTCCTACATCCCCCTCCCCCAAATACAGACTATGTAGTGTATTTGACACACTCTCCTACATCCCCCAAATGTAGACTGTGTAGTGTATTTGACACACTCTCCTACATCCCCCAAATGTAGACTATGTAGTGTATTTGACACACTCTCCTACATCCCCCAAATGTAGACTATGTAGTGTATTTGACACACTCTCCTACATCCCCCAAATGTAGACTATGTAGTGTATTTGACACACTCTCCTACATCCCCCAAATGTAGACTATTTAGTGTATTTGACACACTCTCCTACATCCCCCAAATGTAGACTATGTAGTGTATTTGACACACTCTCCTACATCCCCCAAATGTAGACTATGTAGTGTATTTGACACACTCTCCTACATCCCCCTCCCCCAAATACAGACTATGTAGTGTATTTGACACACTCTCCTACATCCCCCAAATGTAGACTGTGTAGTGTATTTGACACACTCTCCTACATCCCCCAAATGTAGACTATGTAGTGTATTTGACACACTCTCCTACATCCCCCAAATACAGACTATGTAGTGTATTTGACACACTCTCCTACAACCCCCAAATGTAGACTATGTAGTGTATTTGACACACTCTCCTACATCCCCCAAATGTAGACTATGTAGTGTATTTGACACACTCTCCTACATCCCCCAAATGTAGAATATGTAGTGTATTTGACACACTCTTCTACACCCCCCAAATGTAGACTATGTAGTGTATTTGACACACTCTCCTACATCTCCCAAAATGTAGACTATGTAGTGTATTTGACACACTCTCCTACATCCCCCAAATGTAGACTATGTAGTGTATTTGACACAATCTCCTACATCCCCCAAATGTAGACTATATAGTATATTTGACACACTCTCCTACATCCCCATCCCCCAAATAAGACTATGTAGTGTATTTGACACACTCTCCTACATCTCCCCAAATGTAGACTATGTAGTGTATTTGACACACTCTCCTACATCCCCCAAATGTAGACTATGTAGTGTATTTGACACACTCTCCTACATCCCACAAATGTAGACTATATAGTGTATTTGACACACTCTCCTACATCCCCCTCCCCCAAATACAGACTATGTAGTGTATTTGACACACTCTCCTACATCCCCCAAATACAGACTATGTAGTGTATTTGACACACTCTCCTACATCCCCAAATACAGACTATGTAGTGTATTTGACACACTCTCCTACATCCCCCTCCCCCAAATACAGATTATGTAGTGTATTTGACACACTCTCCTACATCCCCCAAATGTAGACTATGTAGTGTATTTGACACACTCTCCTACATCCCCCAAATGTAGACTATATAGTGTATTTGACACACTCTCCTACATCCCCCTCCCCCAAATACAGACTATGTAGTGTATTTGACACACTCTCATACATCCCCCAAATACAGACTATGTAGTGTATTTGACACACTCTCCTACATCCCCAAATACAGACTATGTAGTGTATTTGACACACTCTCCTACATCCCCCTCCCCCAAATACAGATTATGTAGTGTATTTGACACACTCTCCTACATCCCCCAAATGTAGACTATGTAGTGTATTTGACACACTCTCCTACATCCCCCAAATGTAGACTATTTAGTGTATTTGACACACTCTCTTCCCCATTCCAAACAGACATAGCTTTTTAAAATATATTAAAATGGTGAATTGAAGAAATATTCATCATTATCTTTTTTCTTTTAAAATCAGTAGATTACTTAGTGAAAGATTTCAATTGTAGAGTTACAATATGACATCACAACAATACTGCACATTAAGAGGCATTAATTGAGTTTATGGTTGTTTTTGAAAGTGTTGGCACAAAAAAGGCTAGGTTAAGTATTTGATAAATAGAATCCCACATTTGCATCTATTTCATAGACAATAAAGTTGTCATGATATGTTATCAATTTTCGTCCCCAGATTTGGTAAGATGAAAACTTTTTTTGCAACTGGTTCAAAAGTTTCAAGTGAAAAGTGAAAATTTACACAAAATCCTTAATTGTTTGCATTGAAATACATTATCTCATTCTATCAAATCTAGATTCAGGTTACTAAGTCTATCACTAGTAAACGGTCAAGGTAAATTCAATCATCGAAGTCATTAACACTTAACTAATGCAATATATTCAATATGATTGCTTATCCACTCAGATTTCATCATGATTACTACAGGAAATAATTAGGTACAGGTAAATATACTGTACAAATATACATTAACTGTTACCTATACCAATTTTCTAGATTTCTGCATCACAACATTTCAGTTACATGTATATCATATAATCATTGTTCACTATCCCTGTCCTATTTCGTGAAACAGACTATATTACAATATAATCATCACTTACTATCCCTGTCCTATTTCATGAAACAGACTATATTACAATATAGCCGTTGTTACTATCCCTGTCCTATTTCATGAACAGACTATATTACAATATAACTGTTGTTACTATCCATGTCCTATTTCATGAAACAGACTATATTACAATATAACTGTTGTTACTATCCATGTCCTATTTCATGAAACAGACTATATTACAATAGAACCGTTGTTACTATCCTTGTCCTTTTTCCTGAAACAGACTTTATTACAATATAACTGTTGTTACTATCCCTGTCCTTTTTTCTGAAACAGATTATATTACAATATAACCATTGTTACTATCCCTGTCCTTTTTCCTGAAACAGATTATATTACAATATAACCATTGTTTACTATCAATATCCAATTTCCTGAAACAGATTATATTACAATATAACCATTGTTTACTATCAATATCCAATTTCCTGAAACAGATTATATTACAATATAACCATTGTTACTATCCCTGTCCTTTTTCCTGAAACAGATTATATTACAATATACTCTCGTGAGCCAAATAGAAGTAGAGGGCGGAATAAAAATATAGGGCAGAAAATTCTCAGGAAATTAATAAAAGTACAGGGCGGAGTGATCTCCAGCTTTGTGGCCAGCACACTAATCCTACCGAAAAATCCCAACATCGCAACAGATTTCTGTAAAATCAAAATTTATTTGTCACAATCACGATGCATTACGTACAGCAAAACACTGTGCCAGGACATTTCCCAGAAATGACGGCGCTCGAAAAACAAGCTCAGGCCAAGGACAGATTGGGCTATTCCATTTCTGGTTATATCCCGAGGGACATTCGTTGCAACACGGTGAAAATATGATTTCGCGTTTTGAAGTAAGCAGTGATAAACAGTTGAGAATATCATCACACATCACGGGAATATCAAACAAATGTGTTTTCCATTCACGAATTTTGAGATTCCGCTTTGGTTGAACTGAAAATGCGATGCAATGCTGAGCCTAGTTGTCTTCGTTTTACCGACGGTGGACGATACCATCAGGTCACCAGTTACAGGGGTTCGCAATGGAATTTTCCTTGGGACAGAACATTGATTTTTTTCAACCTTGGCACGGTAGGTGAAGCTCGTCCGCGCGCTGATTTTTCAAAAAACGTAAATACCAAAATAAGCATCGTACAGGGCGGATTTTTTCTCAAAAAAAAAAAAAAACGTACATGTATGTTTATTTGACACACGAGAGTAACCATTGTTACTATCTATGTCCTATTTCCTAAAAACAGACTAGATCACAATATAACCATTGTTACTATCCATGTCCTATTTCATGAAACAGACTATATTACAATATAACCATTGCTTACTATCCCTGTCCCATTTCATGAAAAAGATTATATTACAATATAATCAGTGTCTATCATTCCTGTCTATTTCATGGTAATAAATTTCTTTGAAACTTCCTATTTTGAAATTCTTGAAAATTCCTATGCAAAAGACAGCTGGCTTACATGTAGTATACAAAACGGGCATATAATTAATTAATGAGAGCTGAGCATTGTACCATCTGAGACAAGGGGATAACTGAAAAAGAAATATTTAGAAGATCACAAGGTTTGAATTTATTACCTAAAAACTCATACTGAGCTGCTTTATCAACCAATTCCTGATGAATGCCTTGAATGGTCTCTGATATCATTGTTTTTATCTCATCTCCTTTTTCCACAGAAATCTTCATTAGAGATTTGTACAACTCTGTCTCTTTTTCACGTGCAAATTCAAGTTTTTTAGGCGTGATCATCATGTCACGGGCCATGTCAAAGGCGGAGACAATGAACATATTGAGACAACGTTCATGACAGTTGTTTAGAACGGTTGCTGCATTAACAAGATACCGCTGAATTGTCTGTTGAACAAAATACACAATCCTTGAAGAAAATGAGGAAAAATTATCGATAAGTTCACTATCGACCTCGTAATAATCAGTAGTCATTGTACTGGAAAGGTTTCTAGCACCTGGACTTTCACTCAAGTAACCAATATCACAGAGTTGTTGGAACACTGTAGAAGACGACAATATCACAGCTCTACACACCTTTTTGGACTGACTTCTCGACAAAGGCGACGACATGGGAGATACATGGTATTCTGGTTCATCAATACTAGTCAAAAGGTTGTGGTTTTCATTGTCATCGAGAGTATCTACAACACCATTGAAATTTGTTTCTGACTGAAGTCTTTGTTGTGATACATTTTCATCTGTTGTCCTTTCATCACTAGAATCTGAAGTTCTGGTATTTATCCCAACGAAACACACTGGCTGATAATGACTTACAGTCTGTAACTTCTTCAGGAAATTTAAATCCTGCAGAAAAAACAAAAAACAAAAGAAACATCAAAATAAGCAAAATTGAATTTGATGAATTTTCACAGAGTCTGGTTCATCATTTTAGTTTAGACCTTAATACATAAAACAACCAACCAAGTGTCACAGCAAGTCCATACATCAGCACCGTAGACATTTTCTAAGTGTGTAACATTGGTACTATTATTACCATCAGCACCATGTCATCAACGTTAGAAAACTGACCAGTTACAGAGGTCTCAACAATACCTGACGTGACAAATTCACTACTCACTGCTCAATGCACTCATGGCTGAATAATTTTGATTTTCTATCAACTCTTTACATAGGTCTGGCATGAACTGAATAATTGCGACTACATGTGTGTATATATATATATATATATATATATATACATGTAGTCTTCCCAGCAAATATAGAAAAAAGTTAAAAGACTGGAAAACACTACAAATTGTAAAATATAACTTCTCTTTTCTTCAGATGTTTAACCTAGAAACTTTGGAGAAACTAGTACCACCTTATAAGCTCGAGTACATAAACAACATATAAATGTACCATAGTACATCAGTGAACATCTGGATACATGTGGAAAAAAGAACTTTCAAATATTTCCATATTAGAAAGTTTCATCAGATAGTCACATGGAAGGAACTATTGAACTGTTATTCATGACATCACATCAGCACATTCATTTCTTCTTCAGATGTTTTACATAGAAATGAAATGAGATGTCATGAATAACAGTTCTATAGTGATGTCATATTTACCCAGGAGATAATATAGCTTAAATTCTTGTCATGTTTTCTTTTAACTTTTTCCTACATATATATACATATTTAACCCCAACGCCATTCAAGCAAGTAAAAAGTGACCTACACTTTCTGTAAGTTCCAAAGTCTGGAATGCATAAAGCAGGATGGGAGAGATCTTCTCACAACATTTACTGTATTTCTGTTCAAGGTCATTTCCAAAGTCATTCATGGACGGAGATACTATCACTTTAGCTCCTTGACGGAGCATCGAGTGATTCAGAGATACTTCCAACACAGCTGTTCCGTTAGCACCATCTAAATTGGAGTTTTCTGAAATTTCAATGTCCTGTATTGGTATTGTACTCCAGGGCCTCTTATAGGCTTCCAAATTTTCAGCCAGATCGTAACCATCTGGAAGTGATAAGCCAACAGAAAGATTGCTTCCATATTTAAATTGAACCATCCGATTATTTCCATTGATATCTCCATTATCAAATCTAGGGAAAATATTTCGATTGAAGATCTCGTTAACCACACAGGATTTGCAGTGGGAGTTCTGTCCAAAAATGACAATGCCTGGGGGTTTTCTTGCTGTGGCCAGGATTTCCTGCTCTTCCTCCTGCAGTAGCTCAGCTGAAAACAGCTGACCTGAAAAATAAGATCAAATACAGCAATAGAACCTATACCATTCATATGCTACATGAAGATGTTTCTAGCTTGACACTTTGAAGGTTATTTGATAAGTAAATCCAATACATTAAATTATTTTAAGCTTACGAGGACAGAATACAGCATATCTGGTTTGCTAGTTACTATTTAGCCTCAGTCTTCAGATATAAGTAAAATTCTGTACATTTTTTTTTTAAATAAAAGATGTTATGACATTATGAAGCTATGATATAAAATAGTAGATTCTACATATACAATTCAATGTTATGTTTTTTTGTGTTATGGCTCAGTTACATTGCATATTTTTCAAATCAATCTTTATGATTATAGAATAACATAAAAATGATATTACTTGACTTGTCAAACACACAGGGTCCTTACTCACATATACTTAGTTTGCAAGAGATGTTAAGGTGATATAAGGAACCATAGTTTTAATTGGTATTGAATTACAAGATGGTGGCCTGAGACAGAAAAACAAATATGTATTCAGGTATTATTTATTAAGATATGTTGACTCATTGTGTCATTAAATAAATCACATTCCAGATTTGTAGATCTTATCACAAGACAATGTAACCAGTGACAAGTATTGGAGTTATGGGGTTATGTCTCATATTGTACATTTTTATTTTAGGGCTGTGGTATTTCCTGTTAGATATCTTACTAAGATTACAAATGTGGTAAGAGATTTATATTCAACTTTGGCATGAATGTAGACTTAGTAGATATGCATGACATGTTAATCAATATCAAAAAGGTAGAATATATCATTGATGGCAACTGCCTCAGTAACTATGATCATTATGTGCAGACAGTTTTTTATGGTAAATTCATTCACATATGCGTTTCAGACTACTTTTTTGTCATGGGTGTAAAATGAACTGGTACCTGGGTGTCTGCCAATTGTTTAGCTGTTGCCCAACTGGCTTGTTGATTCCCATCTCCAACCCCCACCCATCTCCCAGAAGTTTCCATCCAACATCCAAAACAAAACATTTGTTTCCTCTGTGGCATCATAGTAAAAAAACTCTACAGAGCTTATGTTAATTGTTGAACTTGTAAATGTTGTAAGATAAAGGTTCGTTTTCCTTGTTCTTTTTGTTTCATTGGACCTCAATAACTCTCTGTCAACCTCTTTTTTACACCCATTATCTGGAAATAATATACTTAAATCTTTCTTTTCAACAATAGAAAAATATTGCTGCATTTCTGAAGTTGAAAATTATGTAAACCTAAACCAGAATTATATTGCCAGAGAGAATCACAACTGATTCATTGGACTTATTAGAGCTTGCTTAATTAAAAGTTGGGAATATATATATAAATGCAGACTATATGCCATTTACGGTTGACTGTGACATGAAATGGATATAAACAGAACCTGGATATTGCTGATTGGAAGGAAGATAATGTGAAGATTCAAATTTGTCCATTGATGCACTCCAAAATTTATACTTATTAACAATGCAAATGAATGCTATCAATAAACGAGACAACGATACACAAATCATCAAAACGCGTTACTATCTAGATCAGATAAACGGTCATGTTATATACGTCACAACGATAATATCAAGCTTTGTCATCAAGAACTTTCCTGGTTTAAATTTTTTCAATCTAATAGTATGTTAACGAAATTAAAATATTAATACTACTTTATATATCTTCATATTCGACAATTTTCTCATCAATTTTAAAAGACAAATGTTTTAGACAAGAGTGTTACGCCCTTCTGAACTTGTGAAACTCTGACTGCATCTTGTGACCCAGAGGTCGCATCTACTCACCAGCTTCGGATTTTCCCGATTCATTGATATCATCAAAACATCGTTTAGTGTCGTCTAAGATAATTTGTAGTCTTTTGGAGCAACTCATGAAACGGTTGATTTCAGTTGCCACGCTCGCCATCCTATGAAAGAAATGAAACTTCAGAAGCTGTGCCTTCCGCCTGTTATCTCCTCCATTTTCGTTTTCAACTGGGATTAGTCGCGCGTATTGACTAGAGTTGTTTCCCTTTATCGCGATCAGCTGGCCTTTGTTTATGCGGTAGCAATGATTTAGACGACAGAGTTATAGTGTCATTTGTCAGTCTCTACATGTTATTGAAATTCAGATTAAAACTGGAAATCGCTATTATTTACAATGAAGAATAATTCTTTATGTTTTTGTGTTTCCTTTTTTCGACCATGGAAATTATTCTTACATAATACTACAAGTAAAACGTTTGGGGAAAAAATGGCCGCATGGAGGTAGCTCTGTAACATATTGAAAGTTGTGCGTTCCAAAAGTGTGAGGAAGCGATCAGTTGTAAATTAGCTATTTAATCCTTAGTTTATTTTGTTTTCCAATGTTTAATTCAAGACTAATAACAATGACAGATCATTCTTTAGTTGTTCTAAATACAAGGAGTCATTTTCTCGCGAATTCAAATTTCTGAATACACATTATGAATAAGATGACCTTTTTCTTTGTATTTATAAAATATTGTACCCTTTTGCTTTAGTAAGACAATACAAAAATATAGGTTTGATTACTTGTATCACTGAAATGACAGTGAAATCTAGTTTAGGCATGCGAAGTGTTTACCTGAAGTCGTTTATTTTGCGACTTTTTGATTGTTTACTAATTATCTTTATTAATTGAAATGGATGTGGAAGGTAATTTATTAGAATAACATTGTCACATAGTTTATATACTGGTTACTATCAAACAATACCCAGTGTCATCGTGTGAGCACTGCACACAATCTGACCAGAATAACATGTCACATTTAACTTTACCTAGAATATACAAGTTGGGCATGTCAACCTGTACCTGTTAGCTTTGTAGAGAACAGTTCTGGCTGAAAGATTTGATACCTTTGACATCCGCTATAACTTGGGACCAATTTTGTCAGTGTACTTGATGTTCCTGCAGTGAATACTGACTTACCTGTAATACCTATGTTACACCTGTAACTTATCAACACTCATTTACAGTGATTTGCCTACCTTTATGTTTCCGATGTGAATACTGACTCACCTATATTACACTGAAAGGTGAATATGATGGTTAACTTTGTTCAGACTAAAAGCAAGCAAGGAAATAAAACAAAAGACATAAGTATTTCTAAATCAATATAACTTTTATTTAGTAAATGACAAAGTGAATGTTAAAACAAAGTAATTACATATCTGGTAAATTAAGGTGAAAATTATGTAATGTATCAAATATTCATGATGACTGATCTCATATGAAATTTACCAAGATGAGAGGATGTGCCTGATTCTATTTATCTTCATTAATTAACTGTATTGACAATGAAATGATTGGTGACTATCTTTGACCAAATTCAGTAAAAAAAAACTTTCAATGATTTATTAATACCATTAAAAAAAATAATAATAACCTCTGTAGACAATTTAGTTTAAACTTTTTCTGTTATTTTTTATGAACAGGCCCTAACCTGTAGTTAGATACCTGAAGCAATGTTACCACAAGTTAACCAAATTATCAATTTTCCTCAAACACCAACAATTTGGATTACAGCATCAAGAGCTACCCCCTTCATTGTTCCATCATTCCCAATCAATGGGAGTTTAACCAAAGTTTCTTTCTCTTGCTCAGTTCCGTTGATATTGATCTTGGAGATTTTCTTAATGAACACAATACAAGCACATCCGTCAGCTTGTATCCATGGACTCTTTCTTCTCATCATCTAAACAGAGTAATGATTTTAAATGTAGAATTCAAACAATGAAATTATTTAACACATTTTACAGAAACAAAGAAATGACTCAATGAGGAGAAATAAATAAAATATTTTGGTAAAAAAAACTATAATGTGTTTGACACATAATACCACCAATTTTGTACAGATCTTTTTAAACAAGAGACCTATAGGTCTTAACAGTCATCTGACTTTGAAAGACCTAAAATAAACTGTTCAGCTACTCTACAACTTACATAAAAGGCAATGTTGGTTCATCAAGACATTTTTGCAAACTCAAAATCATATTCTTTATACATGCACTGCACAAATGCCATTACTCGAGACAAATTGCTTGTTGAAAAAGCAAGCTACAGGCCCAGTAGCAAGACCCTTGGTATTTCCATTATTGAAAGAAGTTGCTTAAGCATTTCAACACATTTGATCCCTGTGACTTTTCAAGAGGATCAAGGTTATTTCTATTAACTAGGCGTTGATCAACTTTCCAAATTTAAGAAATAATTTCCTACTATCAATGATGTTTCAGACCAAATTTGGTTGAAATCCATTAAAGCATTTAAGAGTACAGTAAAACATGTTTATAACGAACCTCTAGGAACCAAGAAATTTAGTTCGTTATACACATATAACAAATTTTCGCAAACAGTCACGCATAATTCGTTATAGGAATTGTACATACAATAAAAATAAAGGGGTCTTATTTCATGATTATATTTTATTACATGTATGGTATGTCCAAATAAACAATAATTTGGTATTTGGTTTCAATTGTTAACACCTTCCGCTTACGAGACAGCGACGAAGAAGCCATTTCCAAAATGACGACAACAAGAACAGAACGCAAAGATTTTATATCGATAAGATCAGTTCAGTAACTCGAAACTCAAAAAACAATAGAACGCAGTTACGTATAACAACAACTCACTTTATTCGTCAGTCTTACCTGTATGTAATTGAAGCTTACCTGGACACGGGTGTCGATACAGGACACACGACTTACTTTACTCAGGTGTGATCACTGCCCGAGGCCACTACGTTATATGGTTATTAAATAGCACTGATATTCACCTGAGCGGATCCAAAAGCTGCTACGTTATAGACATTAATTCGTTATGTGAAATTCGTTATATATTTTGATTTTAACATATAGATGAAAGGATGATTGATGGGAAATGAAAAACACTACGTTATAACCATTAATTCGTTGTAAGCGTGTTCGTTATAAACATGTTTTACTGTTGTAGTGTTTTGAAGCGAAATATTGATTATTTTCCTCTTTTGGGGCCCTGAACCAAAGTCTCTAGGGTTTGAATCAACTTTCTGAATTTAAGTAATAATTGCCTAACCTAACTGACGAATCAGACCAAAGCTTGTGGAAATCCACTCAGACAGAAAGGAGCAGTAGGGTTTTAAATTTAATTTTAGCATCTCCCAATTTGGGGCCCCCTCCCTCAACCTCAAGGGGGTCGAATCAAATTTCTGAATTGATGAAATGATAAATCAAAGTTTACTCATGACGCACGACAACGAAGCAAGATGACCATAAATAAAACAAACTACAAATAAAAAGAATAAATTTCATCTTAGAGTCTTCTTTCCAGAAATTTCAATTAAGAGAATCCATATGTATTTTTGGTGAATTAAGATTTCCATAAAGCTTACATGAAAGCCTTTTACCTTCATATGTCACTTATATTGATTCTTTCTATTTCAATGTGTGTTGATAAGGCCAATTTTGGAATCGATGGAAACTGGAACCCCATATAGGTATTAAAGGACCACTTTCATCTATTAACTCTAAATTTGAATTTTCATAACCTTGACATGATCACCTGACATTGCACTATCATAATATTATGAGTTCTGTTAACGAATAAGGAGTCTGTCACAAGAAGTGAAGTTGGAACAGAAAAATCTTGTCAGTGGGAGAAGATCACTCTCAGTCACTATCATGTAATGTCGGTGGGAGAAGATCACTCTCAGTCACTGTGATGTAATGTCGGTGGGAGAAGATCACTCTCAGTCACTGTGATGTAATGTCAGTGGGAGAAGATCACTCTCAGTCACTGTGATGTAATGTCGGTGGGAGAAGATCACTCTCAGTCACTGATGTAATGTCGGTGGGAGAAGCTCACTCTCAGTCACTATCATGTAATGTCGGTGGGAGAAGGTCACTCTCAGTCACTATCATGTAATGTTGGTGGGAGAAGATCACTCTCAGTCACTATCATGTAATGTCGGTGGGAGAAGATCACTCTCAGTCACTGTGATGTTATGTCGGTGGGAGAAGATCACTCTCAGTCACTGTGATGTAATGTCAGTGGGAGAAGATCACTCTCAGTCACTATCATGTAATGTCAGTGGGAGAAGATCACTCTCAGTCACTGTGATGTAATGTCGGTGGAGAAGATCACTCTCAGTCACTGTGATGTAATGTCGGTGGGAGAAGGTCACTCTCAGTCACTGTGGTGTAATGTCGGTGGGAGAAGATCACTCTCAGTCACTGTGATGTAATGTCGGTGGGAGAAGATCACTCTCGGTCACTGTGATGTAATGTCGGTGGGAGGTCATTCTCAGTCACTGTGATGTAATGTCAGTGGGAGAAGATCACTCTCAGTCACTATCATGTAATGTTGGTGAGAGAAGATCACTCTCAGTCACTATCATGTAATGTCAGTGGGAGAAGATCACTGTCAGTCACTGTGATGTAATGTCGGTGGGAGAAGGTCACTCTCAGTCACTATCATGTAATGTCGGTGGGAGAAGATCACTCTCAGTCACTGTGATGTAATGTTGGTGGGAGAATGTCACTCTCAGTCACTGTGATGTAATGTCAGTGGGAGAAGATCACTCTCAGTCACTGTGATGTAATGTCGGTGGGAGAAGGTCACTCTCAGTCACTGTGATGTAATGTCGGTGAGAGAAGGTCACTCTCAGTCACTATCATGTAATGTCGGTGGGAGAAGATCACTCTCGGTCACTGTGATGTAATGTTGGTGGGAGAAGATCACTCTCAGTCACTGTGATGTAATGTTGGTGGGAGAAGATCACTCTCAGTCACTGTGATGTAATGTCAGTGGGAGAAGATCACTGTCAGTCACTGTGATGTAATGTCGGTGGGAGAAGATCATTCTCAGTCACTATGATGTAATGTCGGTGGGAGAAGATCACTCTCGGTCACTGTGATGTAATGTCGGTGGGAGAAGATCACTCTCAGTCACTGTGATGTAATGTCGGTGGGAGAAGGTCACTCTCAGTCACTGTGATGTAATGTCAGTGGGAGAAGATCACTCTCAGTCACTGTGATGTAATGTCAGTGGGAGAAGATCACTCTCAGTCACTGTGATGTAATGTCGGTGGGAGAAGGTCACTCTCAGTCACTGTGATGTAATGTCGGTGGGAGAAGATCACTCTCAGTCACTGTGATGTAATGTCGGTGAGAGAAGGTCACTCTCAGTCACTATCATGTAATGTCGGTGGGAGAAGATCACTCTCGGTCACTGTGATGTAATGTCGGTGGGAGGTCATTCTCAGTCAATGTGATGTAATGTCGGTGGGAGAAGATCACTCTCAGTCACTGTGATGTAATGTCGGTGGGAGAAGATCACTCTCAGTCACTGTGATGTAATGTCAGTGAGAGAAGATCACTCTCAGTCACTATCATGTAATGTCGGTAGGAGAAGGTCACTCTCAGTCACTATCATGTAATGTCGGTGGGAGAAGATCACTCTCGGTCACTGTGATGTAATGTCGGTGAGAGAAGGTCACTCTCAGTCACTGTGATGTAATGTCGGTGGGAGGTCATTCTCAGTCAATGTGATGTAATGTCGGTGGGAGAAGATCACTCTCAGTCACTGTGATGTAATGTCGGTGGGAGAAGATCACTCTCAGTCACTATCATGTAATGTCGGTAGGAGAAGGTCACTCTCAGTCACTATCATGTAATGTCGGTGGGAGAAGATCACTCTCGGTCACTGTGATGTAATGTCGGTGGGAGAAGATCACTCTCAGTCACTGTGATGTAATGTTGTCGGTGGGAGAAGATCACTCTCGGTCACTGTGATGTAATGTCGGTGGGAGAAGATCACTCTCAGTCACTGTGATGTAATGTTGGTGGGAGAAGATCACTCTCAGTCACTGTGATGTAATGTTGTCGGTGGGAGAAGATCACTCTCAGTCACTATCATGTAATGTCGGTGGGAGAAGGTCACTCTCAGTCACTGTGATGTAATGTCGGTGGGAGAAGATCACTCTAAGTCACTATCATGTAATGTCGGTGGGAGATCACTCTCAGTCACTGTGATGTAATGTCGGTGGGAGAAGGTCACTCTCAGTCACTGTGATGTAATGTCGGTGAGAGAAGGTCACTCTCAGTCACTATCATGTAATGTCAGTGGGAGAAGATCACTCTCGGTCACTGTGATGTAATGTCGGTGGGAGAAGATCACTCTCAGTCACTGTGATGTAATGTTGGTGGGAGAAGATCACTCTCAGTCACTACCATGTAATGTCAGTGGGAGAAGATCACTCTCAGTCACTGTGATGTAATGTCGGTGGGAGAAGATCACTCTCAGTCACTATCATGTAATTTCGGTGGGAGAAGGTCGCTCTCAGTCACTGTGATGTAATTTCAGTGGGAGATCACTCTCAGTTACTGTGATGTATTTAGAGACATACCTTCTAGGATCTTCTCCAGTTCATGGATGGATGCTATCAACACATGAAACTGCTTTCTTCTCAAGTCCAACTAGAAAAGCATATTAAGTGCCAGGATTACAACCAGGGATATGTTCTTCAAGTATGAATTATCTAGGAGTTTAATTTGTCAGCTGATCATTTGGATGTTTCTATTTTGTAACAAGATTGCTGTGAACATATGTTTAACTGATACAACCATCTGAATCCAGTGAAAGCAATCTGATAATGTTAAAATTCTATTTTTGACCCCAAAGTTTAACTAAGTACTTATAGACATTTCTGAGCATTTCATGTGACTACATTACAGTGCATATCAGTTTGATCTTGAAAGCAAAGGATTCTACTTCAAAGATAATTTTGATTATTCAGATTAAACTACTTTTTCAAAGTGTTTTCTTGCTTAGAGTTATCTCATTTTGGGAAATAACATTCTTTTTTAATCAACATTTTTTTTTTTAATTTTCATTTGAAAACATAAAACAATTTTTTTTAAGTGTAAAGGTGAAGACATTGATTAGCTTTTTTCATGACATGGGATTCATATCAACAATAACAAGAACTTGGCAATATACTGTATCTTAAGGAACAAATTGTTAATAAACTGAAAATGTCACTGAAATGTTAAGAGAACCTTTTGTTCCAGTATTTCCTTGGATTCTTCCAGACTTGCTACTTCTTTGTCCAAACACTGCAGCTGTCTGAACAATGAGAAATAATACCATACAAATTACTGTATATAATCAAACATTCTTCTTTCAATATGAAATCATCTTCAGAGAATTTATTTCCTTTATCAGTATCCATGCCTGGTTGTCTTCTTCTACTTAATTGCTTCATGAGTAACAAGTTGTCCCCCTACATATTTAGTTACTTAGTGGTTCCCTGTATAAAATGATATCCCCACTCCACCTAAACTGTTGTGTACCCATTTATTCCACCTTACCTAGTTGTCAAGTAAAGTGATCACTCCTTAACTAGTTGTTTCCATTGCTAGCAGTTATTCCTTCCTATTTCTTCTGTGTCTCCAGTTATCTATCTTTCCAAGTTGCTGTGTATCCACTCCATGTTTTGGAGTGTCTCCAGTTATCTATCTTTCCAAGTTGCTATGTATCCACTCTATTTTTTGGAGTGTCTCCAGTTATCTATCTTTCCAAGTTGCTATGTATCCACTCCATTTTTTGGAGAGTCTCCAGTTATCTATCTTTCCAAGTTGCTGTGTATCCACTCCCTTCCTATTTCTTCTGTGTATCCAGTTATCTATCTTTCCAAGTTGCTATGTAGCCACTCCATTTTTTGGAGTGTAAACAGTTATCACTACTTTATCTAATTGTCTCCTGTGTAACCAAGTTTTCTCCTTAAATTAGCAGTCTTCTGTGTTATTTCTCCTATTTGTTTCAAGTATACCCAATTATACTCCTTATTTGGATGTCTCTTGTTGTACCCAGTTATCCTCATGAACCTACTTGTCTGACGTAAATCAAGTTATCCTCATTCCCTAGATGTTTCAAATGGAACCTTAAATTCACCATGGCCATGGGTGATATTTTTGTTCATTAGATTATAAAGGTTTTAATCAAGATTTGAAAAATAAATCCTTGCTGAAATTGGTCTTGTCATGTTGAAGTGGACAATGAGGGGGTTTCATTGTTTTCAAAATAATATTTCAGCTTTGTGTTGGATATTACTATTTGGGCAGTAATGAATATGTGTCTAACCATCAAAACCTAGCTTTAAAGGAAGTGAAATTTTCATCATGTATACACATGGTTATGTTGTGGAGGATTTCTGAGTTGGAATTTGCTGAAACGTAAGTAGTTTGTTACCACGACAGTGTTGTTGATTTTATGACAGGTATTCAGAAAGAAATTTCTTCTATAATGTTGATGTGTTGGGTTGGAATTAACAATCTTTTTGCATTTTTTGAGTTGGTAACCATGGCAGTCACATGTCAGAAATCAGAGGAAAGTTTTTATTTACACAAATTTTATCTCTCTACTATTCATGTAATTGTTATGTAGTTTATAAACATATATACATGTAAGGATGTATTTTTCATAACCAAACTGCTCTACTTGTATCAAACATGACAAAAAAAATCAGGAAAGATGCAAATTAACTGTTTCCTGTGTAGCTGGCTATCCCCTTACCATATAGACTCATGTGTTGCCAGTTATCTCCCCTTACCTGGTGGTTTCCTGTCTGTCTGGGTGTTGCTGTATCACTTTAGCCAAAGCATCATACTCTAAAATGAAATATGTAGAGTAAGTGAAATAACTGAAGTTGCTGAATAGGGATACTTCTTAAGGAATTAACAAACAAAGCAACATCTGGACACCAAGATGATACAGAGTGATTAAAGTCTGTCTGACTTTAGGTCTGCTTTAGGTCACAGAGTGCAGCTACTCTTTGTTAACAAATCCTATAGTTTTAACCAAACAGTTAAGGGTACTCTTTGTTTTGATATTTCAATGACAAATGAACAGTGGTATATTCATGTTCTATGTTCATCAGGAGTAATGAACTTTTTTATGGTGGAATTTCTTCAGATTTCCATCAATAAAGTCAATCTTTACATGTATTAATACAAAGTTCCACTTTTGGTTTATCAATTTTTTTGCTATTACATTTTGACATGACTTCCTGAAAAATATATCAAAATTAATCTTTCACAAAAGAGTTGAAATCTACACAATAGACACAATTTCAACATGCCTACTTATATGTAGGTAACACATTCCTAACTTCCTGCTATTACACAATCACCAAACACTAAAACAATCACCAAAATCCCAAAATTTTAACAATACACAGACATGTTCGCTTAACACCCAAAATTTCACAGAACACTTGCACAATCATCACATCTTCAAATTATAATTAATTTAGGACGTGCAGATAAGCTTTATTAAAAGAAATATGAAAAACATTATCACATTCTATTTAGTATATACCTTGTCTGTTTTTACGTATTCTTTTCGCTTGCTGAACTTCCTTTTTGCATTCTGCAATCTTCTCCGTTGCTTCCTTTATTTTTTGCTCTAAAAAATATACATAGCAAATAGTTATCAGAATTGGAGTATACTTAAAAAAAATGTTTATATACAATAAAATAATCCATAAAAGGAACAACTTTCTTCATTTTGAGACTTATTTAAGACATGGATTATAACTTATTATCATAATTACAATTTTCTAGCCAGAGTTATCAACCTATAATATATTGTTTGGAGCTTTAAAATATGTTATACTGTATTATCAGTTTGTCAAAGGGAGATGTGAGGTATTACATTTTGAGGTGTGCTACCACCTCTTTGATATTCATGGTCTAATTCAGTACAGACTTCCACCTGAATTTTTAAGTAACAATATGGCATTGAGCTTGTTGCTTTATAATATGAAGCCATCACTGGTTATGAAGTCATCAAGTTTGAAAAATTATGTTCGTGACAAGATGTGATTTGTTTGGTGTACCTATCTGGTTACTGAGTTGGTCATAGTTGTTCTGCTCTTTAAGGTTCATCTGATACACTTTGCAGGATTTCTCTATAGTGTATTCAGACTGGGTAAGAGTTGCCAAGATCCGCTGATAATTTGTCACACTGAAAGCAAGAAATCATTCCAAAACAAATTACACCTTCATATCCTGACTTTTCAACACATACACTAGAATACTATAGATTTTTCTCATGAAAGAAACAAAATCAATTCTGATTTACAAAAGCTTGTTAGGTAACTGATCAAATATCTTGGAGAAAATGGATTGTGAATCAATTTGAATACTGCAAAGTCTTAATTTTTTGTAAAACTCAATTTTCCTGGTTTTTCAACAAATCACTATTTCATGGACATTTGTTGATCAATGAAACTAAATCCCCACCAAAATTAATGATTTTATAGTACACGTGTACTGAATAAGTAATCTTCCCAAAGCTTCAAAAGATGTATACTTAATATAAGAGGTTGTTGTGCCTTACTTTTCCTCATCATTTTCTGAGGAGTTACAGTAACGGAGAAATGTCCTTATAAGGTTGCAAATTCGTTTGTCATCATTACCTCCATCACCTTCAATCAACAGTCGTTTTTTGATGATGTCATCTACAAAAGCAAATAAAATTTGATCCTCAAACTTGTATGTGATATCAATTACATGTAACTATAATGATAGGTATTAATAAAACAACACTTAATAACAGCTATATTGAGGATGTCTTGATTCCTAATTATTATGTATAGAAACCTGCTGGTAATTACAAATTCTGTATCATAAAGGTGGTACAGTACCTATTCAAATATCTAGTAACCTTTGTGACATTTAACTGTAAAGACAAAGAAAGATAAGAAGATGGTCTTTTTGATACTGTACCACTACAAACACGATTGATTAGGAACTATTTAAAGAAGTGAAAAAGCAGAATATATTGAATGCCAAGAGAATCTTAACTCAAACTTAAAATCCATAAAATGAGGGCAAAACATGTACATGAACAAGAGATTTACACAGACCTAGAAGTATGAGAATATGATTAGGTATTAAGGGAGACTGAGCATTTTCCTCTTCTTCAACGACATCCTCTATGAAAAGTTTGGTCAACTCAAGAAAGTGAAATTTCAAAATAGCAAAGCGCATACCCTAACGAGTTCCAAACACATCGGTGGAGGGGGGTCATAACTCAGTCGCTTAGAGTGTTGGCATACAAAATGATAAATGAAAATTGACGTAAACAAACCATGTTGTTCATTGATGTGGCCACCTGCTACTACTTGAAGACCCTGCCTAAAATGACAACTGCTAACCACGGGTTGATAAATTCAGCAAACAAGCAAAAGTATCTTAAGATATCCTTATGATAACCATTAAACTTCCTCATAATCTGTATCAACCTGCATCTCCGCTTGTTTAGTATTGCAATAACTAATTACGCATTTGTTGTTGCCCTTTGAGATTTTACAGTCAAGACTTACACGTTAACTTTAAATTCCATATTCACTTATCATTACAATGGATTACTTCAAGGTTTGAGCTTTTTTGGCTTTACTGAAACGTAAAGTATAACTTATAGATAACTGAATCCCAATTTGAATTGTTCAATAGTCATAGGTAAAGTATATAAAATATAAACTGAAGAATGATTGTAAGTGTATAAATATATAGTACCGGTAACCAATGACACGTGTTTTGCTTGAGTCTTACCATCAGTTACAGACATTTTGGTTAGTTTACAGATTTAGGGCCTCTTAAGACATTATAAAAATAATGACAAAATTAATAGATCATGTATATATAAATGAGGTAATTCTATAATACAATCTCTAATCATATGGGAATATGTGTGCTGCTTTCTTGTTGTGGGAGTTTGTGCCACAAATTATGATTTCTATTTTTTAACTATATAAGCGGAAGCACTTGTGCGAGTTGCGGATTTTCCCGAGTCTGACGTCACGGAATCTTCGGTTGGCTCCGTTCTGGCAGAAAGCAACAAGAAAAGTGCAAAATGGCGACCCTGGACGATAGTCCGTCGCTATTTGCTGGCCAAGCATGGGGCAACTGGGCCGACAATGTGCCTTTTTCGCCAGAAAGTGGTAAGGTTACATATTTAACAGCGAGATTCCGAGATATTTTCCAATATCAATGGCCACATTTTGAATAAACACAATTTTAAAATGAGTAACATCATTGCCCCTCATTTCACTGTGATCTCGATTTGCACGAAATGTCATGTAAAAACGATGTTTTTTCATCGTTCAGGTGACGAGAGCTCCAAAACCAGTGACGATGACACTGACCATAGTATGAAGCTCAACAGAGAAGGTAATTCAAACTTTCTGGTTGTCGATATTTATGTACAGCACACAGTTTATTTTGACAGCGCAAGGCATGGGCAAAAAAATGGGAAACAGTGTCATTTGCATGCAAATTTGATTCCGGACTTATATTCGGATCGACAACTTGACAAGTTTCAAGAATAACTAAAAAGCAGGACACTTTAACATGACAAAGTCTTTTAAAGATTGCTTTATCTATACACACTCGAGAACATGTCATTCGGAAATGGTGTCTGTAAAAACACACGGATACATTTGGCTTGTTGGTGTCTTATATCAGTCGCGTTAAAAATAATATGGATAAAGAAATAACTTACTAATGTCAATCAACAACACGTTGTTTTAGCAACTGCCATTCCAGTTGAAATGTTCACTTTAGATCGATTTTTGCAGTATTTTTTTTCTACAAACGTTCCAGGTGTGGTGTCATTTTAACCAGGATGTTTTATGATGATGCTCTATCAGAAAATAATAATTTCATGTTATGTTTTTTATTTGTATGTGTGCATCAATTCATTTTCTGTTTCAGTTGATTCTAGTGTATTTACAGAAAGTTGAAAAAGATGGTTGCAGCTGAAGCAGACTTGCTGTCACTGTTCAATTTGTAATTTGTTTTAAGTTTTGTAAAATTAACATGTGAAATTCAAATGTTATATTTCTGCAAAATATGTCAGGTTTGACATAATTGTCCTTGCCCTAAAATATCTTAATTTTCACAATAATTTGAATTCAAAATGAAGCCCAAAACATCACTATTTTTACAAAGTATACTGAAAAAAGATCAGGTGATTGGCATTAATCAAAATAATATGAACTAACAACAGATGAAAGTAGTCTTCTGTACATGTATGCATACCTGCCAACTTTTCCAATTCAGTCAGGAGATTTTCACTCCACAGCCCCATCTCACAATCATACGGATCAAAATTTGGGTAAACTCCTGATTTCAGAGATCCTTCTAGGTAGGTCATAAGTAACCGGGCTATCTTTGTCAAATTGGTGAGACTGACCCCTGGCCACATAATCAATGCCTAGCTAGGTGAGTACACTACCCAATTATCTAATAAGTGTCACCCAATTCAGGTTAATAATCACTGACCACTACGCTCGGGAGCACATTTGTACACGGCTGATTGTTCCCTACCTCATTAACAGTAGACCATTGGTCAGGACTCAGGAGCAGGCTCTGGTAAATAGTTTGGTAGGATGAGGTCATTATACAGATAATAAAATAATTATTACCATGTTTATACTACCTATTTGGTCAAATAACGAATTCAGCAAGAAAATGGTTTGAAAAATGATCTTTATGATGTAACTATGTATGCATTCCTCAATCAAAACTGATAATTTACCATATCAGTCCATTAAAAACTACTAAGTTGGCATCATGAGTTAAGAAAAAAAGATTAATGAAACATTTCACTCACTGGGAAATTGATTAAAACATGATAATCGTTAAACTGGAAGTAGCTACCATTATGCAAAATTGAAACAACTTTGGACCAAATTTCTGTACTTGTATCTGTCTACAGTTATTTTCTAAAAATGTATTTCACAAAGAATCAAATATTGACCTTTAGATCTTGATTAAAACATTTTGAGTTTTATGAAAGAATTTCTTCCATTTGTCTTGTTTTTACCTTTTTCCCTAACTTTTTAATAAAATGACAGCTTAAAATTTTGTGAGATGATTAATGTTATTTTTTTTTCTTTTTTCAAGTAAACATACCTTTCAGAAGCATGATATTTAGAAATTCATATCTTTATTAACAACCAAACAGATGATCATCAATTTTAATATCTGTTATATTGTGCGAGTTCAATGAATACTGAGAATTTAAATGACTAAATTCCATCTTGTTCCTTACATAAGCATAAAAAACAGATATTTATTCATAGTTATAGTACAGTTAAGTATGCACTTTGTCAATTTAAAGTTATTTACAAGTATTGAATATATATATATTAATTTAGTCAAAATGCGCAAGGCATCATGGTGAGTCTAAAAATGTTGCTCACACACTTCTGACATGGGTTTCTTTCACTGACAAATAATCTTTAATCTGGAGGTGAAGAGTGTGACTATCAAAAAGAATACCCGGTGGTTCTGCCAATTCTTGATGCTATCCAGATGGTTTTGTGATGTTCCTGCCCTCCAATGGCAATGCAATAGCTTGATCATTTTTGCCCCAACCTAAACAATGTTACCTGTAGAAAGATACTTTAACACATAAGTGTATAAGCTATCATACTGTACGGAAAAAGGTATTTTTTTCTGTAAAGGGAAAAGGAATCATTTCAAAGATAATCTGTCTTCCATGGACAAGATTAAGGGAAATTCTATCTTCAGGTATAGAGCTGCCTTATTCTGCAGTTTAACTTAACAAGATACTGATAAACTGTAATAAGCAGAATAATTTCAGGTTTTACAGGCAATGTTAATACTTTCAGTAACAGGTAAAAAATGAAAAAACCAGAGTTATAGTAAAAAGGAGTAAAAGGTAGGCTCTACTGCCTGTTAGAGGGGGCTTTGAAAGCGTTTTGGTAGAGTGTTGGCCTCTATAACAGGATTAAGACTCAAGGTATGTGTTCAAGATTTCTTCTTCATGATGATTAGTGTTCCTCAGAAAGCTGAGAGTAGGTTGTTTAGGAAAATGTGGATAAAAAAGAATATTATGGACCTTGATCAGGGGTAGCGCCAAATACATTAGGTACCTTGATCAGGGGTAGCGCCAAATACATTACGGACCTTGATCAGGGGTAGCGTCAAATACATTACGGACCTTGATCAGGGGTAGGGCCAAATACATTAGGGACCTTGATCAGGGATAGCGCCAAATACATTAGGGACCTTGATCCGGGGTAGCGTCAAATACATTAGGGACCTTGATCTGGGGTAGCGTCAAATACATTACGGACCTTGATCAGGGGTAGCGCCAAATACGTTAGGGACCTTGATCAGGGGTAGCACCAAATACATTAGGGACCTTGATCAGGGGTAGCACCAAATACATTAGGGACCTTGATCCGGGGTAGCGCCAAATACATTAGGGACCTTGATCAGGGGTAGTGCCAAATACAAGAACAGTTTCATCACATAATTGGAATGGAAAAGAGAATCTTAAGCACAAGTTGCTACATCAATGAGAGTTTATATCATGAATAAGTATTATATCTTTCTTGTTTTCAATATAATCTAATAAGCTACACAAAGTATAGAAAGTGAGGTGGCTACTTACTAACTTTGAGTCCGATTGGATAAACAACATGGCAGAAGGTAGCAGCATTTTTAAAATTGTTTCCAATAAAAAGGCAAAAACAGGATGGGCAGCATTTTGGTTACATGAAAATTAATGACAAAATGTTTCAAAACTGATCACAATTGAAGTCCTGTTTGTGATGGTGCAGGCACCTTAATATGGTAAATAGCTGTATGATCTTACCTTTATAGACCTATATATTTTTTTTCAACTTGGCTAAGCCAATGATTAATAAAGTGTGTTAAACATATGTCAAAACCAGTAACTTTATCACTGTTGAATTAAATAAGTCTTTTTTTTCAAAGTTTGAATTAAAGAAGAAATTATACCAAATTTATTGTAAAACTAAAACTTATATAAAAATAATCTTTTACAGTCAGGAGTCCAGCTGTGTGCAATTTCCACAAATAGTACAGGACAGCATGTTTATGTATAAAATGAATAATATGAAAATACAAAAAAGTTTGAAGATTCTATGAAAATTGTAAGTAATATTTTTCTGGCTATTTAACATTTACACAATTGAGCATACTGATAGGTCAGTAACCTTTTTTCCTAGGTTAGAAAAAAGTATTTTTAATATAAAAAAAAACTTGAGATATTAATGCAATAGTCACTTGACTTGCAAAACCATTGTTAAAGCTTTTTTTGCCTTAATAGTCACCTCCAGTCTGTGTAGGATAGATGAAAATGTCACCATTGGCCTTATTATAAAGTAACTTTATGTCCTATGTGACTTTTGTAGGTATAAATATTGAGGATGTTTCCTTCAGGAATCAGGTTTCAAGAACAAGTCTCTTGTTAGATCCTTGTGGGCTGAGTGGCTTGGTTACTGTTCCAATAAGCATTTCTAATGTTTAACCAGATGTCATTTCGGAAATAAGGAAGAAAATGATGCTGCATTTAATTCAATGCTGAATTATCAACACTTTTTATTTTCAGGTCTGCGAATAACTATTTAGTATGTTCTTACAAATTTATCAGTGTTTTTCTTTCAAATTTATCAGTGTTTTTCCCAAAAATGTATCTGTGTTTTTCCCAAAAATGTATCAATGTTTTAAACTTGTATTTATTTCAGACACATGATGCGTTATAAATTCCACTGACTAATACTTCCTAGCAAACAAATTTTTTTGAGTTCTGATGAGTATTGTGTGTAGCAAGTAAAATCATTATCATGAGCTTTCTGCAGAGAACAGCAGAGTTTGTTGAATGTTTGAAATGTAAGGTTTGACAAGTTTTCAGTTCACTATATGATATTCAAGTTGCCCTGCTGCTATGGTCCATTCATAAACAATTATCTAAGTTCTCTATTTTTTGACAAGTTGCATGTTCTCTTCTTTGAGACTAACGAAAAAAACAGAATTACTGAGGAACAATAAGGAGTGACCGTCCTCTATTTTCATATTGATAAATGACACTTATTTTATAAATGGTTGAGCCACTTCAATTTTGAGGGCAATTGGAAAAACAAAACAGGTGTTATTTGGTTATCTGGGGTTGTGACAGTTACAGATTATAATTTGTTGAAAAGAAATGACATGAACTTGAACAACTTTCTCTCGGTTCCTAGATATGTGTCTTTTAATTTTGAGACTAATTGGGAGTGAAATGGCCCACAGGTAGCTATGTAAGATTTTGGGGAGTGAAATGGCCCACAGGTAGCTATGTAAGATTTTGGGGAGTGAAATGGCCCACAGGTAGCTATGTAAGATTTGGGGGA